CCCAGACCTGATGGCTTAAAACTCATGCCAGGTGCATGTGCACGCATACCCCAAATCCTGAAAATAGAGGAGAAGGGACTGCAGCAAGGCCATCCCTGTGTGGGGTAACTTCTTTCTGTCTCCCTCAGTCTCTCCGGTAAGTGCACATGCCCTAAAGCAAAAATCTCTCTCAAAAAATAAATAAATAAAAAAGATAGTGCCACTCATAGGGCCAGCATGGTGATTAAGGTGCTGGACTCCCACAGGGCCAAGTGTGGTTTGAGTCCCAGACCTGGTAATTTGCTTTCTAACTCTCCTCTCCTTTCTGGAAAATTAAAATAATAATAAAGTTAAATAATTTTTTTTAAAAAGAATGCCACACATATGTCACAGCATCCTCTTTGGAGAACCCAGGAGAGAAGAACTATCTGATCTCAATGGCAAATAGCTGTTTCTACTGAACTACCAGTTTGTTTTTAGTGCGAAAGTATTGGTAAGACTGACAAAATTTTTGCTTTGGCTGCTAGGAAGTTCAGGGCCAAATATGCAGTCCTACCTGAGTAAAAGGTAGAGGACAAAAAGGCACTCACTTTTGTGCTGATCTTTTCTCTAATTTCCTCTTTCTTTTCTTTTACCTTATCTGCCCACTTGCTTTTATTAAAAATCTTGTTACACATGGGCCAGCAGGTGGCATAGTATTAAGGCAATGGACTCCCACATGGTCTACCGCAGTGCGAGTCCCAGGCCATGCAGCTTGAAACTCAAGCCGGGCATGTGTGCGTGCATGCCCAAATCCTGAGAGGAGAATGGAGGAGAAGGGACTGCAGCATGACCATCCTCCCTGAGGGTGATTTCTCACTTTCTGTCTCTCTGGTGAGTGCATGTGCCCTGTGGCAAAAATCTCTCAAAACAAAAACAAAAATCTTGTCACACCAAATATATCTTGGAAAGAGTCTGCAAATTAATTTTTTGAGAACAAGATAGAGAAACTGTTTAAAAAAACAGAGTAATAGAAAAAAGGCTCCTAAACCCAAGATTTTATTCTACTATTATAAAGTGCACATGCACACACACATTTACCAGCACGTCTAAGAAACAAACTCAGATACTTACGTTAGTATTTTACTACTCAAAGTGTGATCTGGGACCAGCAGGACCAACACTGCCTGACCTTGTTGGGAAAACAGATTCCCAGGCCCTTCCCAGGTCCTGGGTCAGATGCTTGCCTTTTAGCAGTCTCTCCAGTTGACTTGGTAATAAAGTACAATAACGTTTCAGAAGCTTTAACCTATCCAAGGTTCCCAGGAAATGGTTTCAGCACCCTAAAAGTGAACAACTCTAAGTTGTTCTCTGAGTGCTTATCACACGCCACGCACACACATAAGGAAATTCAGTCCTTGTCCTCTTTACAACAGGACACTAGAAAATGCTTACACCTTGTGGCAGGCTTTTTAAAAATTTGTTTTTAGGTTTTTGCCATCGGGCATATGTGCTTGCTGGAGAGAAAGAGAGAGAGGAAAAGTGAGAAATCACTCTCTGGGGGTGATGGCCATGCTGCAAACCTCCTTCTTCCATTCTCCTCTCAGGATTTTGGGTAAGCATGCATATGCACCCGGTATGTTTCAAGTCACCAGGTCTGGGACTCAAACCACAGTTAGCCATGTGGGAGCCCAGTGCCTTAACCACCATGCCACCTGCTGGCCTCTGTGGTAGGTTTTTACTGGCTAATTATAGAATGTCACAGCTACAAAGGAGTCTCTAGAAAGAAAAGTATTCTTGTGGCCAGCTGGTGGTGTGATGGTTAAGGTGCTGGACTCCTACATGGCTGACTAGTTTGAGACCCAGACCTGGTGGCTTGAAAATCACATTGGGCATGTGTGTGCAAGCCTGTGCCAAAATCCCAAGAGGAGTTCGGAGAAGAAGGAATTGTGGCTGGCCATCTTCTAGTGGGGTGATTTCTCACTTTTCCTCTCCCTCTCTCTCCAGCAAGCATATGCACCCTATGGCAAAAACCTAAAAAAGAAATAGTATTTTCTAAAAACTGAAGATTTGGCCTAGCCACAGTGATGCAGGAGGAGTGTGCTACTCTGCAATGCTGGAGCCACATGACGATCTGAGTTTGGATCCTGCTGACCAAAAATACTTGAGAAGCACTGGGACCTTGGAATGCGTACCTTTCTTAATCTCAGGAATGAAAGTAAATAAAACTTTAAAAAAGAAGATTTATTGTAATTTTCCTAAAAACATATTTTAATTTCTCTTGTGACAATCTTCTGTGAGCAGGGGAAGGTAATTGTTTTGGAAACTACAAATAATTTAAGAGAAACTGACATGCAAGGGGAGCTTGCAGCTGGAAGGAAATGTACACCGTAGCCCATTTCCTGTGACTGTACGCTGGTACAGGAAAGCCTGGAAGTGAGGCAACGTCCCAGAGGAGTTGTATTCAACACCTCTAATTCTGGCAAACAGGTCGAAAACCAAAGGGAAGACTTCTTCACGTTTCACAATTATTTGTGAGCAACTTCAAGGTGGGGAGACAGTTTCTTCAGAACAGTTATTAGGGGAGAAGCCATTCAGAGTCACCTCCACAAGATCTGCCTCTCTGGCTGAACCAACCTTCAAGATTTTGTGTCAGCCACATCAGGCCCCAATTATCTTACTCCTCTGCTCTTCCAAGACCATTTCAAGTAACCGCATTGAGAGAGTCAAATAAAAGGAGACTTCAAAAGGTTCATGGAAAATGGAATTAAAGTAGGGGGTCTATGAAAAATTTCAAAATTCATGTTAATTCATTATATGCATTTCCCATAAACAAGGTCCCTTGGGTATTTAATCAAATTCTAGTGTGGTATTGAGACTCTAGATATATAAATGGACCATCTTTTATGGAAAGACGACTTTTACAGTGGAGAGATTTTTAAAAATCAAAATCAGATAAGGTGCCCAAAGCAGAAAGACTCTGAAAGGTCAAGCACTACACAGATACTGAGTATTGGTGAATCTGTTCGAGTATCTATTTTTATCCTAACAACTGCTAACAGCTACTGAACATCTTCTCGTGCCAGGAACTATGTTAGGCACTTTAAATACAACACTGCACATCAATATTGTATTTAGTCCTCATGATACATGAAGTAGGTATTACTATTCCCATTTTATAGACTAGGAAACTGAGGCACAGATACATAACTTAGCCAGAGTCAGTAACATGGCAGAGCTAAAGTCTAAATTGACTTAGCTTGGGCTCAGCTGCATCCCTAACCTGTAAAAATAATTGGCCCAATATGTCAAAGGAATAAAAGTTTGTTTTGTCATCTTTGTAAAAGGTTTTTGCAATAGGGAGTGTGCACTCACTGGAGAGAGACAGAGATAGTAAGAAGGAAAGGGAGAAATCAACCCCGCCCCCACCCAGGGGATGGCCATGCTGTAATCCTTTCTCTTCCACTCTCTCTTGAAACATTGGTCGGGGACTGGAGCATAGTCCCGGGATGTGATTTTCAAGACTCCAGGTCCATGAGTTGAACTGTGGTTGGCCATATGGGAGTCCAGCTTCATAACCACCACACCACCTGGTGGCCCCTGTTTTGCCATCTTCTGATTACTTAGCTGATTTTTGTTTTCTTTTGGCTTTCTTCCCCACTGGATGCCACAAGGTAGCTCAAAGGAGGGTGTGATTACCTGTGTGAGTGGGAAAGAGCTTTGAAAAGCTTTCCAGAAGAGATGAAGCTGAGTTCCTTGTTCTTTTCTGTACTGAATGGTCCGGAACTGATTCAGGTGATGAGAAAGAGTGTAGAAGGAAAAAGCCTAGAAGTGCTGACTTGCACCAGGGGACTTCAAAAGGTGAGGGGAAAACTAGAATTAATGGCTGAATTTATTTTGATGCACATTTTAAAGTCCGGGCATAGTTATTTCATAATATGTATACTTCATGAGCGTTTTGAAGGCTTCTCTGTAAACCAAGCCCAGATCAACTGACCCAATGCCCTCTGTCAGAGTCTTGAATGACACCCTTCATACTCTAGACCTGACAACTGTTAAGGTGTTTAGGAAAGTTACCTCCCTTTCTGCACTCTGCCCCCATGAATTCCCAGCAAGGTCCAATCTACCCTGGCTCTATCAGGTTTCCGCTCATTTTAATTACGGACAATAACCAAACACAATTTAATCATTATAACGGTTCTAGCGCAGGTTTCAGACATGCATCCCTGGATGCTGGGAACTGTTCTGGGGATGACAGTGGGAGGGTAGGCCTTCCGATCAAAGAAGTGAGACATCTTGCTTTCCCCACCGCGTCTGGGCTGCTGCCTCCACAGCGCTTTCTCCGGCGGGGGGACCCTGGGCTGCGGTAGCCCCGACCGCGGAACGGGGTACACAGCACACGCCCCGCGAGGCCGTGAGGGAAACGGAATCCCCGCAGGCCAAGGCCAACCAGCGGCACGGCCGGCCCAAGATGCGGAGACATGCCCTCCTCCGCCCGGCCCTTGTCTCCCCAGGCGTTCCCAAGGCCGCCTCCCGCCTCGGTCCCGACTCCTCGGCCGCGACCCGCACACGCCGTTCTGCCTGCAAAATGGAGGCTCACGCACGAGGCGCCCCTGCCCCGGGGAAGCCTTTGTGCCCTCCCGGTGGGGACACGGAGCGCGACGGCACACACCGTCTCGGGCGGCGCAGACAGACCCCGACAGGCCGGAGGAGCCGGGCCGCGCCGCCGCCTCCAACGCCAAAGCCCCGGGCACCCGCGCCCAAGCGCCGGCTTCGCCTACCTAGCGTACCTCGAACGCTCCGCACACCCGGAGAGGCGCAGCAGCCCCATCCGGCGACCCCAAGACCGGGGTCTCAGGCAACGACCGTGGCCCTCCCGCCCGCGTCCGAAACGTTTGGGGCGGGACCAAGCGCCGACCACGCCCTTCAGACCCGCCCTCTGCCCCCTCAGCGCGGAGGGCGCCTTTTGGGAGGCGTAGCCAATCCCAGCCCTGTGCGGAGTTTCGGCCAATACGCAGCCCGCTCCTGTAAGAAGAGCCCACCCCTTGAGTCGTCTTGGCCAATGGGAAGACTGCATCTTCCTTGCGGTCTGTGCTGCCTCGCCTTGGGCGCTCCCGGCTCGGGTTCTCTGACGACCAGGGGGATCGTGGGAGGGCGTGTCCAGAGGGTGCCAGGGCGGTGCGCGGAGATCCGCTCGAGGCGCTTTCTCCTGGCGTGTGGGCCCCGCCCGGAGTCACGCACTCATTCATCCATTTTGTTCAGGGCGCCGAGTGGGTCAACGCGCTCAGCGGCGAAGGCGGTCCCACAGCCTTTGGTGGGTCTGTTTTCATTCGCCTCTAAACAACCCGGCGGCGTGACCTCGGCCGGAGCAGGTGCTGCAGGGCGGGGCGCAGGCGCCGAGGGCGAACTCTCCTGGAGGCGGAGGGGGCAGCTTCTGGAAGGAGTGCGGTTTAGGCAGTCCGGAAAGGATGAGAGCGGTAAAAACGAACGAACGCGAGCGGCCTAGCTCTCGGAGCGTTCTGATCTGTTGGGAATCGGTGACGAAGTCAGGGGAAGAGGGAGCCAGCATGTGGGAGGCCGTGGTGCACACCCCTTCCCCACCAGCGGTGAGACCTAGGAGCTTGATGACACTGCGCTTCAGGCTTTTTATTATTTGGCGCAGTCCTGAGACCTAAAGGATCTACCACCGGGCTGGCTGGGGCAGGGGAGTTCACCTTGTAACCTATGCCAGCCAGACCTTTTCCTCCCTTCTCGTAATTTTCTCTCAGCAGCATTTTAAGCAGTCTGGCTGCCCCACCAGTTCATAAAACAACGCTGTAGATGTCTTAGCTGTGGACTGCGGGATTCTTTCCCATAGAGCTTCAGGACTCCAGGCTGTTTAGGAAATAAGGTAGAATCTGGTTCATTAAAAAACAAAAAAGCAAAACAAAACAACAAAAAAAACAAGTGGACTGCGGGTTCTTTCCCATAGAGCTTCAGGACTCCAGGCTGTTTAGGAAATAAGGTCGAGTGTTCATTCAAAAACAAAAAAGCAAAACAAAACAACAACAAAAAACAAGGGGAACCAGCAGGTGGCACAGTGCTTACGTCTGCAGTTGGAGTCCCCTGATGGCGTAAAGGAATTGCAGGTATGGCCATTCACCCTGCGGGGTGATTTCTCCCTTTCTCTCAGGTGAACTCGTGTGCCCTATAGCAAAAATCTCTCTTAAAAGAAAAAAGCCAAGGAAGTTGTGAGTGGTGAACTTGAGATAAACTATGGACTAAGTAATTCTACAATTAGCAAAAGATAAGCATATTACACTGTGTCAAGTCCCAGTCAGATCCCTCCGCCTTCATCCAGCCCTCCCTAATATTCTCAGCCAGCTCTGCCTTCTCCCTTCCTTTGCACCTTGCAAACTTTCTCTTTCTCGTGGTCTTTACTACTTTCTACCCTGTGTGGTTTCCTCATCTGTAAGAGAGGAGGCAGAATGGATGAGTCTGAGAGCCTTTGCACTCTGACATTCCATACTTACTACTATGGGCATCTTTTGGTTTTGTCTCACAATCTTCCCTTTCAGGAATTGTCTACAGTCCCCTGGATCATATGGTTCCTTAGCATCACACTTCTCTGGCAGGAGGTGGAGAAAGGGGAGGCAAGGAACCCAAGGCTGTCCAACTCACCTTCCTTTTGTCTTCTGTGAATTGTATGGAAGATGAATTGTATCTTCTTTTTTTTTTTTTTTTTAGAGAGAGCTTTTTTGCTATAGGGCACATGCGCTCACGGGAAAGACAGAGTCAGAGAGATAGAAAAATCACCCCCTAGGGGAGATGGCCTCACTGTAATCTCTTCTCCATGCTCCTCTTGGGATTTTGGGTATACATGCACATGCACCTGGTATGAGTTTCAGGCAGCTGGGTCTGAGACTCAAACCGCTGTCAGCCATGTAGTCGTCCAGATTCAGGAGTCAGCTTGAGGGAGTTTTTCACTGGACACGTTTTGGACAATTTGCAAACCAAAAAGAACAATATTAATTGACTATAATACAGTAACTTCTAAAAACCAAAAGTCCGCAGTGAATCTCAAAACATAAAAAAAAAGTGTGGAGAAAAAGAAAAGCTCATTTTTCCAGAGTGGTAATATAAAATGAATGATAGACACTCACCATTTTGTAACCCCAAATGTTATGCTTACCCAAGGCAAGGATTACTAATGGATGCTAAAATTATTGGGAAAAGAGTTGGGAAAGAGGATATTCACATAGACTCTACAAGTGTTGCCCCGCTAATTACAGGAGGAAAATTATGCACTTATCAAGGGGAGATCAAGTGGTTATCACCGAAACCAAGTGATCAAACATCACCAATGATGGTACCACCGGGCGTGTGCTTCCTGGTGTGTTCTCTTCAGAAGTGTTTACCTACTTGCTGCCTACAGAAAGCATAGTGGATACTGGGACAAGTTACACAACAGCCTGAGGAAATAATAATCTCCAGAATATGGAGCATTTTACAAAACAATTTACCTAAACTCTCCAAAAACATTCATGGGACAAAATTACCAGAAACAGTATTGGAAAGTACTATTGTTGATCAAAAGAAACTAAATAGATATAACATCCAAAAGCAATAGAGGAACCTTGCTTGAATATTGAAGTAGAAAAAAAAAAAAGAGCTATAAAAGATAATTTGGGGGCCAGTATGTGGTGTAGTAGTTAATACACTGGACTCCAACATGGTTTGAATTCTGGATCCAGCAGCTTGAAATTCACTTGGGTGTATGTGTATGATGCCCAAAATTCCAAGAGAATGGAGGAGAAGGGATTGCAGTGTGACCTTCCCTCCAGGGGTGATTTTTCACTTTCTCTGTCTCTTTTCCTCCAGTGATCATACATGCCTTACAGCAAAAATCTCTCTTTAAAAAAAAAAAAGATATTTGGAGAGGACCAGACAGTGTGCAGTGTAACACAGTGCTCTGTGAGGCTGACGCTCCTGGGAAGATTCCCGGTTTGCACTGAGAGACCTCCCTGAACAGGTGCCCATGGTCCAGAGCTGGTCGAAGCTAGGAGTGGATCACTTTGGTGTTACCTGTCAGTCTCTCTCACTCATTGGACAAACAAATCTATAAATGTGTGTGTTTATTTGAGTCCAGTGATACAAAATGGTGAGTGTCTAATCTATCATTCATTTTATATTACTGCTCTGGAAAAATGAGCTTTTCTTTTTCTCCATGCTTTTGTTTTATGTTTTGAGATTCACTGCGGACTTTTGTTTTTTAGAAGTTATTGTATTATAGTCAATTAATATTGTTCTTTTTGGTTTGCAAATTGTCCATATATGTGGCCCAGTGATAATGTGCTGCTCAAGAGAAGTCAGATCTCACATGGCAACCATGATTTGATTCCCCAGCCCAGGCAACCTGAAACACCCAGGCATGACTAAGTGCCCAGTGATCCAACAGGCTGGAGGAAGGGAACCGTTGAACACAGTGATGCAGTTCTCAAGTATGACCACAAGGTGGAGCCCATTTGGCGCAAATTGCTGCCTAGCCTGTCTACACCTGGGTACCAATGTGGTATTCATCTGCGGTGTCCACTGAGCATCTTCTCTGTGCTAGACTCTGTCTTCCAGAAGCTTTCTGACCTGTATGGTTCTAGGTTGTATCTTGGTTGGAGGGGATTCAGTTTCTTTCTGTTTTTTTTTTTTTTGGAGAGGTTTTAGCCATAGGGTGCATTTGCTCGCCAGACAGAGAGAGACAAAGAGACAGAAAGTGGGAAATCACCCCCCCCCAGGGGGGATGGCCACGCTGCAATCCCTTCTCCTCCATTCTCCTCTCGGGATCTTGGGCACGCACGCACACATGCCCAGAGTGAGTTTAAGCCATTGGGTCAGGACTCAAACCGTGTTCGACTACATGGGAGTCCAGCAACATAACGTTATGCTAACTGCTGGTCCCAGGGGGTTCAGTTTCTCTTTACACCATAGGGCTTTAGGCCTTGACCTGGTCAGGGAACTTTCCTTCTAGGGCAGTCACGGGTGTATTTAGAAGTCACTGCCCTGAGTGTCTTCTGTAGTATCAAGGCCAGTGCCAGAGTCATCTGTAAAATTGGATTTCATCAGAGCTTGAAGTACTTTTCTTCTGAAAATGTGTTTAATAAAAAGGATACACTTAATAGAACTTAAGAGATTTTTCTGGGGACCTTGAACCAAAGTTCTTCCCCACCTCCCAGTTTTTAAGTAATTAGGACAGTGACACTTTTAAAAAGGACAAAACTGAATTCATGACTGAGATGGACAAAGGGTGATTCCCGCCAAAAACAAAGCCAAGGTGCAGTCCTGTGGAAGAGAAAACAATGCAATACAGTTCCCCCAAGTGCCACCTCCTTTGAAGCCTGTCCTTATTTCCCTAGCTAGTGGCCAACAGGTGTTGTTCCACCCCTTCCCCCCCCCCCATCCCCGGGAGCTTACATGGTAGTTGGAGAGACTGTTACACAAATAGGGGGCTGGATGATGGTGCAATGGTAAAACATGATGCCCTACAAGGCCAGCCCACATGGGAAGGTTCTCGGTTCACATCTGGAGACCACCCTGAGCATGCCAGACATGCATGTCATGTGATCTGGGACTGTCAGACGGGGTGGACGGCAACATCAGGGCCCTGTTTCGGGATGCCGCCTCTCTCTCTCTGTCTCTGTCATTCATGGAATAAATAAATTTAAAAAATAACAGTAGACTTTCCGTGCAGCCACCTAGGGAGGAAGCTGTGTGAAGCCCTCCCTGTCAGCTACGAGGGCCGGGTGGCGTAGGAGCGTGCAGGCTTGTTGCGAGGCCCCCAGGAGAATATCTAGGTGCAAGAAAGCCTGAATTTTGAAGATGGCATGAAGGTTGTCATGACGTATTTTCCAAAAACATGTCATAGAAGATGGTGGTGACAAAATACCAGGGTCCTACTGCATGGAACAGTACAGGCAGCTGCTGATGAGCATTCGGGTCCTTCAGCCATGGTGGTTAGAAAGCACTTTATTGCCTCAAGTGTGTCTTGTAACATTTTGAAGGGGAAATGTAGAATTGATCAAGAAAACAGGAACAGAAGCAAAGATAGATAACCTTACAATGAACTATCTAGAAAAATTGAAAAAAAAAAATAGAGAGCAGCATGGTTTCCTAATGGATGGGAGGGGGAGGCTGGAAGGTGAAAGGATGAAGAATGTAGAGCAGTGTCCCCAGTCGCTAGCCTGAATATTGAGTCGGGGCGACCGGGTGAGGGGTGCAGTGAGAACTAGGAAGTTAGCAGCCAGCAGAGGCCGCTCAGGGTCTCTGGGCCAAATCACGAATTCTAACACAATGGTCTGATTGACTCCCCTGGATCAGGTGCCCACCTGGTTTGCTGGCCGAGATGGTGGGAGGCACACTGGAATTGAGTGTGCCAGGGCACGTTTGCTAAGGGGCTGGCAAGGAAAGGAGAAAACAAGCATGTGAGCTAGTGGAATACAAAGCACCATGAGGCGTAGGACAGATGCC